TATAGCCAAGAGCGAAGAAAGCCTGGCTACTGCTCCAACTGGCAGCGGACCCTGGCATCACCCATGTGGCGATGGTTTTAGAACACACGCAGGATGCAAGAGTGCTGAGGTTAAAAAGGCTTTCACCTCAATTTCAAAAAAAGCCTGGGAGGCCAGGCAGTGTGCTCCTGAGGGGGCCGTGAGTAAAGCTATACGGAAAAAGCCAAAGGTATACTGCAGACCCCAAGAAGTTTGAAAAAGCCAAGAACGTGGATTGTTTGAGGAAAGCTGCAAGGAGAAAACAAAGCAGGCCCAAGAGAGAAACCACGAGAGCTACAACTACCAGAAATGTCACAGAGGCTCAGCCACAGGAACTCACAATTTGCCACAGATCTCCTCTGATGTTGTAGGTGAAACTACAGGACTCAATGTTCACCCTTCTGGATTCTGGACTTGCTTTGGTCCCAATGCTTTGTATCCTCCTTTTTGTATCTTATGGAATGGTAATGTTTCTCTGTGTCACTGGACGCTGGAACGGCTTTTTATTTGTACAGGGGCTCAGAGAGCTAAGAGTCTGCCTTAGATCTTGGAGAAGACTTGGGACTTGGATTGTTTAGCACTGCTGAAACTGTTGGGACTTTGGCAACTCTCGGAGAGGGACTAAAATGCCTTTTGCATAAAGTGCATGAATCTTTGGGGGGCCAGGGATAGAATATCATGGTTTGTGTCTAGATGTCCCCCCAAAGCTGCATGCAGTCATGGGGCGAGGAGCTTGCATATAATATAAGGGAGGGAAAGAGGCCTGCTCTCTACTGTTCTCCCTTTTGTTCTTGTTAATTTTGTCATTTTCTGCTGCCATGAATGGCTGCCCTCTGCCATGTGCCACCCTACCTTGGAGCCAGCTGAGTATGGACTGAAATCTCCATAAACTATGAGTTAAATAAATCTTTCCTTCCTTATTTTTGGGTGTTGGGTATTTAGTCCCAGCAGCAACAACAAAAAAGTAACCAAGACAAGAGACTAATCTAATACTCCTGGGAGGGAAGGAAGTTTCTCTGCCAAGGAATGGGGCAGCGTCTCCAGTGAAAACCTTCTTATTTTTATTTTTAATGTATTTGGTTGTTGCAGGGTCTCACTACACAGCTCAGACTCGTGGTGATCCTCCTGCTTTCAGCCTTCCCAGTGCTGGAATTACAGGTGTGTGCCACTATGCCTGGACTCAGCTACTGGCTCTGCCCACCCTGGGGGTGGGACTGGTACATCAAGTGGTACCAGGGATTGAACCTCGGTCCCTGCCCTTGCCTAAGCTTTCCGAACCAGGCACTTTAGTCCCACTGAGTTATCTGGCTGCCCCAGCAAAAACTTTTTATAACTATTTACCAGACAGGATCAGTAAGACTTTGCAGCTGGGCACATCAGGGGCGAGGAAAAACATTCATAGGATGGTGTTTAGATGTCTGGCATGATGACGCTAAGCTGTAGTGCCACTGCTGGGGATGGGCACGATGGGGGCGGCAGCCTGGGCTGTGCTGTAAGGTCTACAGCGTGACAGTGGAGGGGGTGACGGACCTGACATGGGACACAATCGAGAGACCAGAAGTCAGGACCATACAACCATGGACAGCCCAAAGCACCACGTGTAGTGGGGAAGGGGAAAGAGGGAGCTCCCTGTCTAGGCAATTGCTGAACAATGCCTCTGAATATTTTATAAGGAACATTCTACGCAAGCGATGAGAGTCATTGAAAGAACAAAGGAAGGCTCTCTTCAAGGCATTTTTGTTGCTATGAAAGAAATCAGAACTTATTATAGGGCAACAGTAATTGAGACATTATTTTATTGACTCAGGGATACTAAGTGAGAACTCAGAAGTGTAACCAGATATATATGAAATGAAAACTGAAATGAAGAAAGGGATAAGTTATCTTCAGGATGGGAAAATGTGAAACTATACCTGTACAGCTCCTAGGATATACAACAATAATTCTAGGTAGAATCATTTCCTAAATGCCACAACAAGTTTTAGAAGAAAACATAGGTGAAAAATAACTCTGTGGCATCATGTACGTCCTAAACAAGACACAAAAGCCCTAAATCATAGCTCGAAGAAAAGTACTCTTCACCTGAGCTAAAACGAAGAATTCTGCCCAACAACGAAAAGGACATCAAGAATGTGAACAAAACGGAGGAGGGGGAAGATTGTTGCAACACACAGCTAGCACAGGAGAAGATACAAACAACAACGCCAAAGTCAACTGTCAGTAAGAAATAGGAAGCCTAGTCTTGTAACGTTTTGTTACTCATATGTAATTTAATTTCTGGTTTAAAACAAAGTGTATCACAAAGGAAAAAGCAAACCACCTGGCCGATACCATGAGTGCCACCCACCCTGTCCAGCCTGCAAAGACGCTGGTAATCACAGCTAGCCTCTCTGGGGGACACTTGTCAATACTTATTTTTTTAAAACATGACTTTGCAAATGCACTTCCAGGAAATGTTCAAGAGAAATTCTCATACACATAAAGCACCAGTGAAGGCCATACTCTGCAACACTACTTCTAGAAGAATGAAAACAATTCAAAACACTCACCGAAAGAGTTTAGTACAAATAAATGACACCCATGCAACAGAATCTGAATCAAGCACACAGACTGATGGGAACTGTCACTAAGCTCTGATACAATAAGGATCAGGAATACGGGACAGAACATTAAAAAGGGGAGCAAGCTAGAAGGTAGAAGGTGGAAAAAATCCTCATGCTACGTACACAGAGCATTTCTGCAGGTACCCAAGAAGTCAATGAAAGCGATTGTCTCGGGAGGGAGCCGAAACGATTGGGATTGAAAGTAGCTACTTAGCCCTCATTCCAAATCTGCAGCTCCTTTCCATTGGCGTCTCACCATGAACGTGTTTATTACCTTCTCAAAAGATAAAATCTCCTGATAAAATTTCATCCTCCTTAAAAACTCATAGCGACAAATATACCTATATATTTTTATAAGTGTACCTGTAATATAAATATCATACTGAAAAGAATGGTAAATTTGCGTGTGTCAATATAGAATGCACAGGAAGTTTCTTTCTGGAATAATGATGATGTTCTAAAACTGATGGTGGTGCTGGACGACCAATTCTATGACTATACTAAAGCCACTGGATGTGCACTGCACACGAATGAACTGCACACTGTACCAATTTCATCTCTTATTTTGTATCTGTGTGGTGCTAGGAATCAAACCCTGGGCCTTATACATGGTAGGCAAGAGCTCTACCATTGAACTACTGAGTTTTTTCAGTAAAATACACACCTGTGTGCATGCATAAATAGATAGAAGAGTTTAGAAACTGCAGCCCAAAAGTATAATGTGGTCCATCACTGGTTTTCTTCTTTTCCCGACGATTGGTTTTTATAAAGTTTTATTGGAACAGGGCCACACCCACTACATATCATCTATGGCTGATTTCACATTACAATAGAGCCCTGATACTAAAAAATCTTTAACTCATATAATTGAGTAAAAATAAAACCCTTAAAATAAAACGCTTAAATGCTGTACACAATATGACATAAATATCAGGAGTTCATGTAATAGCAATAGAAATGTTTCGGCAGTACAAGCACCAAACCAAGCTGACACTCCTGGTTACTTCCAGGTAGAGATGGACAGGCAAGGAGTAGGGCTGGTCACAGGGGATCTGGGCTTGAGTTGTAATTCATTCAAAAAGCATTGTATTTATGTTAAGGACCCAGGTAGAACAAAAATGTTAACGCTCATCTTGGTCTTAATTTGCCTAAGTACTGCCAGAATTTTAAGGTCCTCATCTACCTTCTGGTTTTTTCAGATCTTTTTCCTAGCGCTGTGTTTACATTTGCCCTTCATCAGTTTCAGAAGTGAGACTCAGAAGTTGTAAGGTAAAGTGGTGTGCCTGTCACTAGTGTGGTCACAGGCCAGCAAAGTGCCAGGTCCTGGTGACAACCAACTATTTCAGACACACAGTTCCCATCGCAGGGGACATGTGACTACTAGTCTCAGGTTCAGTCTCCCTTGCAATTAGTCCATGCCCACAGGCTTTATGTTAATACATTCACATACTTTATCAGATCTTCATGAAAGTGATGGCACCGCTAACATTTTCCTACACTTCAGAATGCAAGCAGGTTGGACTGCTCTTTTAACAGAGTATCGCTTGAGAATGAAACTAACCCATTGCCAATGAGCAATTCAGCCCCTAGAATGGCACATGTGTACCTTGAGTCTCAACCAAACTGTTTTAGATCATAAATTATCAGATAATTAGGTATAAATGATAAAATATACTTCATCATTAAGAAAACAAAGCACTCTTTCAACTGGAGGAAAAACCAAATTGGTGTGGGACAATGATTAGTTTAAAAACTTAATGGCAATGGAGTTTCCTAAAGCAACAACAAAATGCCAAATAGTGTTTCCAACTACATAGATCTATGCAGAAATAGATCATAGACAAGCAGAAAAGGCAAATAAATGTTCTACAACAGTAACAGAAAGTGTCCAAGTGAGAAAGAAATGCGAATCCAAAGCCTAAGACATCATTAGGGCCAAGATGTCGGGAGCAGCGTATGCCACGTCTCTGTTGGGCGGCCACCCCCCAGGGGCGTGCGGCTCTGTAATGGTGAGCCCACAGTGGCTCCTGCTTCTGAGCACAAGGAACTAGCACACAACCCCAGGAGGGCTGCTCACCTGAAGTAACCCGGGAAAACCTCTCCACACACAAAAGCGATATACGAGGGAGCAAGGACCAGTCGCCAAATTCATTTGTAAAAAATGTGGTTTTAAAATATTTTGTTGATAAAATCTTCACAAAGAAGAACAAGTGTTGAGTATTATCAAAAGAGAAGCATTAAAAATCACACACCTACAAATAAACACACAGACACACACACACACACACACACACACACACACACACACGTACTTCAAATTCAGTACGATTTCATTTTAAGCTTCTCCTTGGGAAAAAGGTCCACTTCTAGCACACTCACCTCCGTGTTCTAGAAATACTCGGACACATCTTTCCTTTCCTCTCGCTGCAGAGAAATGAAGCAGGGTCCAGCCATTAGCGTCTCGGCCATTTGGAGAATAGCCCTGCTCTAGCATCTTCCGCACGGTGTGAACATCTCCGGCGGCCACCGCAGCCTGAATCTGCAACTCTTCCTGCAGTTCAGGATTCCTCCGACAATGGTGGTGTAACATCCTAGCGGAGTCCACTTCTTACCAAGGTTTCATTAGGTCCCAGGGATCAAGCTTTCAGGGAAGGCAGAATATGTGAATTTTAGAAATGGCTCCTGGTACTACGCCCATCAAATATTGCACAACCATCCTTTCGCTCAACCAGTAAACTTTAGTGATCTGTTTAGAGTTCTGCTTCCCATGTACCTGCTAAGACCAAAACTTTTGCGAACTCGACCAAAACTACAAATGATTTCAGAGGGATAGTCAAGCACAAAAACCAAGAACTCATGAGCATAGAACTTCTTCTGCTGTCTTTTGATACCCAAAACAACCAACCTATGAAAGTAACAGATATGTTCTGTGTAAAACGGGAGGGGCTGCCAGGTAGCTCGCACGTGTGAAGCAGCGGCGGGGTCAGATCAGTACCTGTTCTAGGCGTTCTGACTTCCATGGTACACCACGGAGGAGATTTAGGCTGTAAACTAGTCAAAGATAATTATCCCAAATTAGCATTAATAAGCGTGGAGCACCCAATGGCCGATCCGTACACTATGAATACTAAACACACTTAATTAGGAAGAGCAGAAAAAATATCGTTTATGTTCAGGCTAAGGCTGTAGCTCAGTAGAAGAGTGCCAGCATGCAGGAGGCCCTGGGTTTGATTCCCAGGAAACACAAATGCAAACACAGACATGGACACACACACACACACACACACACACACACACACACCCCAAGAGAAGCAAAAACCTTTAGGCTGGTTCTCTAGAGCAGTTCAAAAACATTTTACTTTTAGCCCTATGTTTTATTTTTAATCCAAGGTGTGAAGGCTGGGGGAACAAGAAGTAGGGTGTGCAGTGGGTTAAGTGAACAAGAAGAAAACGTTTGAATTCCACGCACCTTGTACCTGTTTCCATTTCTTTCTATCGGTGTTTCCTGCATTAGGTTACTTGAAGTATGGTTTACTAACCCTCTAAATACCATAGCCTCTACCATAGTAGCAAGATCGTATAACACATTTGTAAATTCTAAGACTCTAAACAACCCTTAATAAACCTTATGATTAAATTATTTTAAAGGAAAATACCTAGAATTCCCATAATCTCTGCTAGGTCGCAAAAGAGGTATGTAGACACCCTGAAATGAGATCTCTTTATACAAGTAGGAAAATCCCAAAATGAAATGGTGAGAGGTTTTACTTCATAAACATGCACACAAAACCTTTTGGAGTGAGTTTTTAAAATGTTAAGTATACACAAGGATCCAAACTAATAAGCTTCTAGGAAGACATTCAAAGTGGGTTAATTTGAAAGCATAGATCAGATCCATGCCTTAATTAGCAGCTTCTATTTCTAAAAATAAAAAAAAAAAAATTATGTGATAGAGCCCTTTGAAGACATTTAGCTCTCGTATGTAGGTTAGGCAGCTCAGGATAATCTATCAACAGTAATTTATTATACAGAACTCCTCATTACTGACTGTACTCAGAGAAACTAAGCCTAACTTAAGTTGAACAACCACAGCTTAAAAGTACAAATATCTGATATGGTTTTTACCTAGAAAATAATGTTATCATGAGCTAAGAATTACTACTGGATGTGATTTAAAAACATCATGCTACTGGTGTGAGAATAGCTATGATGTCAGAGAAAACTAGGAAATGAGAGATTTCTTGTCAGTTTGTTCTCTTGATCAACAAATTTTTCTTCTATCTCTTCCCTTAATTACATCCCTAAAATTAAGCCTTTTTTCTTACAGATTTTAAGAAAAAAAAAAATTCCCTGCAGGTAGGTTTTCACTTATTTTCTCTCAGTAATATAAAATAAAATGCTGAAGCTCATTCGCAGGAATTAATGGGGATTATTAATATATAATCAAATAATCAACTCTAACAATGTTTTAACTGGAATGGTTATTTTAAAGCTCTATTATACAAAAAAAGACGGAAAGAATATGAAAACAAATCTGGGTTTTCTTTTAGCAAATGCTATATTTTGTATACATTAATTGCTTTTTTTGGATTCATACTTTTGATCACATTTAAAAACTTTTGGGGGGGTACAGAAATCAAAGCTAGGGCCTTGCTAATTATGTGTTACACCACAGAGCCACACCCCCCTACATTTGCTGATTTCGAGGAAAACGTAAAAACTAAATGGCTTTTCCCTCAAAATAGCACCTATGACGGATGACCCTGAGTCTCCTTACCTTACAGAAGAGGGCGCCTTCTCCTGGGATATGCACTGCCTAACAACCATGGTGCACGCTCATCATGGGGAGGGGGTTCTGGGTGTGTTCAGGCCGCAGAGCCAAAGAGCTTCTTCACCTAAAAATAAACCAAATACCAATCATAGGAAAGCTCCTTAAAATAATTAAGAATCATAGCTGCCTACAGACTCTACCTTTTGCTAAATCTGCATTTTAGCACTTCACAATAAATCTACAAACAGAACTCAGATAAATTCTTAGATAAAAACGATCTTGTGATACTACTGTCCAAGATGGTTTCAAACTTTTTTTCCCCCAGAATTCCATAACCCCCTTCATGTAGTTTTAAAAAAAAAATTGTAAAGAAAATAAATCACACATTTGGAATTTGGGTGTCAGCAGAGCTGCTTCTTTTTCTGCTCTTTACAATGTATCTTCAGACTTGTTTTCTTTGAATTACTTTTTAGCCGACACGTCATCACCTAGTCTTTCTAAACAGGATTAAGAGTATCCATGTATTGAATATTGGACAGGGCCAAAGTGGAATCTATGGAATCTACAAGAAGATTTCATCTTTAAAGGCTGGCTCTTCACATGTTTCCAGGGCATAAAGTCTATGCTGTTCAAATTGTTCTCTTTTGCGTATTCACTCAACTAGGTAAAACACTCATGACAGTAATGCAGCTGCTCCGCGTGATGCCTGACAAGACTCGCCCTACATCTCAGAGGAACCTTTCTCCATGTCAACTGAATCCTAGCTCCACGAATTCCATCCAGGTGAAGAACACAGGCAAAATGACCCCCACACATCGCAACAGAACCACTCCAAGAATTACGCACTGGGAGGACTGCCACTTCCTTCCCTGGTGGTGGGGTGCCAAGCCCCGAACGACTTAAACCTTCAGACAGGGAAATGACAGGCCATCTGGCGACCTGTCACACTCCAGGAAAAAAAAAAAAAGCAGTTATAGATGCTGTGGGCTGCACAGAAGAATTTCCAACCAATCTAAATTAGTATAATCCACTTCTACCTTTTGCTTTCTCACATCCCATTTTTCCTTTCAGACTTCTCCAAGGAAGGCAGAAACTGTCAACTTGCGCTTGGAAATAAAACCTGATATAAAACACTACCTACTGTTTTTAAATAAATGAAGTAGACATCATCAGAGTAACTCCTACAAGGCCGAGTAAACAACACAGAATGAAGAGGCCTTATAGAAATGGCTGATTTTAAGACGGGGCAGAAAATAAAGAAGATAAGCCTGGAGCATCTTGTAGTGGCAGAAAGAAAAAATATGTTCTAAGAAAATCTTCTGGGGTACATTCAAAGGATAAAGCAACCAACTGAAAGAACTTTCCATGGCCAAAGATGAACAACTGGAGCAAAGAAATACTTTGAATAGTTTGGCCTATAACCCAAAGTACAAAATAAATACAACTAAGTCTATATTGACATAAATAATTGAGTGAATAAACGAAGGAGAGAGAACCAAACCTTCTCTTCAGGATTCCAAACAATCTACATAGATCTTCTGGAAGAGAGGACATATATTAACATGAGACGCTAATAGGAGAAACTGGCTATAGGAACCTCGTATGATTGCTGAAGTTTTTCTGAATGTTAACATCAAGACTGTTTCTAAAATGTGCATCAGCATTTCCATATTGAGCCTCATGCTTTTCCACATATGGCTCCCAATGACTTTTTCACCTGAGTGACATTTACAGGTCAAGAATGGACAGCACCAGACACTCCACTGCTAAGAGCATCCTCAACACCCGCCGCCTCCCAAGAGAAATGGAAACATCCCAGCGCTGTTCCAAGGCTGTGAGCCTCTCTGTGGCTTTTGCTGGCGTCCAAATACCCATCATCATTCCACAAGAGGGGCCTGGGCATGATGGGGAGACAGTGAGAGGTGGGCTTTGAAAAATATAAATAGTATTTATTACTAATATTGGGAAAAAGCTCGGGTTTAAGAGATGAAGGGACGATACTACTTCTCCCCATAGAAAGATGCTTAATAATAGAACTTGTCATAACTCCACGTAGCTACGTCACCCAGACAAATCAATGTCCCCTGGATGCCTGTGATGTTCCCAGCACAATGCTAACCCTTGGCCACAGGCATCAGCTCTAGACGGCACTTTAATAAGGCGCTCTGCATACTTCATATGGTATTTTTTTAAGTCCTGGAAATTTCAGAGTTCTTTTTCTCTCTTCTGATAATAAGAAGCACTATAAATACTAACAGATTTAAACCAAAAGGCACTCCTACATGAGCTGGTGCATCAATCTGTACAGGGGTAAACATGTACACATACGTATACCATGGGCACACGACCCTGACAGCTGCATCACTGTGAATTATGAAGGACAAAGAGTTATCACCAGAACATCTCACTAGGCCAAGGCGCCAGGCAAGTACTTGATTTCTTCCTGGCGTCGGAGCTGCACCCCACAGCATACAGTGACTCATGCGATATCCACTGGTAAAGGTCCCTGTTAAGGACTGAGGAAGGCCACAGGTGAGAGCATACAAAGCCTATTTCCTCCCAAGGAATATAAATTTTAAAAATCTCATTGCTCAAGGAAGTCACCTATAAAATCAAGGGACAGGGCAAAAGAGGCAATTCTGAAAATAGTACTGAGTCAAGTGTCAGGCTGTCTTAATGATGCGCTATGGACTCAGAAGCTAGTTATTCTCATGGTATACTTTTTAGAAATTCCATTGTAGGTTTCACAGTTAGAAAAAAGTATACAAACATGTGAGTCTTTAAAATTAAGTATCAAAATGAACCATTTCCCCAGTGTGGATAGTTTTCTCACTCTTTGTTGTTGTTGTTGTTCAGTACCAGGAATCAAACTCAGGACCTTGTGCTTGCCAGGCAGGCATAGCACCACTGAGCTATATCCCTAACCCAGTGTGTATGATTTTTACGAGGTCTTACTGCTATTTCTACTAACTCCTGAAATTTTGCTAACTCATCTTTTCCATTCTATCTAGGATTGAAAGAAAACAATCTAGACTTGTGAATTTTAGAAACGACACATTTAAGATAAATTACCACCTAATTTCTACATAGAGGCGAAGTGGTCTTTATTGAATTAGAAACACAGTTCCTGCCTCACATAGTTAAAAGAACGCCTAGGGGCCGGGGAGATGGCTCAGTGGAATAAGCGCTTCCCTGGCAAGCGCAAGGGCCTGAGTTCAATCCCTAGTTCCGCCAAAAATAAAATAAAAAATAAAAGAAAAGAAAGCCTATATTGACACAGTAACATATATAATAACCACATAATAAAATAAGTCCAAGGTCTGTCCAAAACTACATAGTCTTCACCAAACAAGACCATATTGCCCCAACTTTTCCTGGCATAAAGGACTAAGTAAGCATTTTTTTTTTTTTTTTTTTTTTTGGTATACTATTTTCACTGTAAGCCCACGTCTTCTGAGTAAGTGATACAAATTAGAACCCCGGTGCTGTCTGATTTCACACAAACTGCAAACAAGATAACAGCCTACTACACAAAAGATGAAAAATGCACTTGAATGCAGAATAAACAAAGATACAGGCTGTCAGGAAATAACATCGGCAACCAAGGATATTGGCTCTGAGAAAAATACATCCACCAACGGCTCACAGATGTAAGAGGGAGGACAGATGCAGAAACACTAGGCAGCCAATCAAAACACACAACACGGCTGAAATGCACGGTGACGAGCTCTACTTACATGCTCAAGAGCCTAGGACCCAAAATAAAGCCTCGGTGTTATTTCAGTACTGCTCGACATGGCACAGCGTTTAGGTCCCTAAACAAGTGAGGGGATCGCATTTCCCGCACAGTCCTGGCTCACCAAATAACTTGAGGATTTATCCTCAGGTACAACTTTTGACTCCCCTGAGTTCCAGCAGAAAACCCAGTAACTTCCATGAGATGTAGAATGAGGCGATAAAACAATTTAGAACTCATTTATCCAGACCTGACCCAAAGCTTAAATCACAAACATATATGATGTGGCTCATTAATCTTATTCTATGAAATAATATGCGCCAATACAGTCTTGGCAGCCCATGTACCAGTGCCTAGAAGAAGACAAGTATTACGATTAGGGACTACACTCAACTGAAAATGACATCAAAGGTGGAAAGTTCAGTATTAGATACAACAGAAGCTCTCCATGACTCTAACTTTTTAGACATCATGAGAATCTCTATGGAAAGTTTAAATGTGAATAAAATAAAGATAAAACATTAAATAATTATACACCACTGACCACAGCGCCCTACAGATGCACCATTACTAGCTTCAATTAAAATCAATTTTTTTCCCCTATGTAATTATAAATCTAGATTTACCAAATAAATCAAAACGATGTGACTGGTGCAATAGAATTAACACAAAGTTGACTGCCAGACTAAAAAAAAATATAAGCTATCTCACTGACCATGTTAATAAATACCTAACTTAAGTATTTTAAATGTTTAGTATAATCTAGACCAAACACTCAATCATGCTAGTATTACATATACAACAGAAGCCGACAATTTATATAAATTGCTTAATCTTAGAAAAACTATTAAAAGGTGAGCAAGTCTGTATTATTTAGGCAGTGAGAATCGAATGGCCAGAAACCATACAAAAAGCAATGTTCTCTCTTACTAGTCTTATCTGTTAATGACAGACCTCCTGACCATCTCAGGCGAAAACACCCCTCAGATCTGAAAAGTTCCTTTAATTAAATCTAAAGCAGAAAAAAAAAAAAATACTTATTTCATTTAGACTTTTAAAACACACCCCAAATATTTAAGTGGTTTTTAAAGTTCTAAAACTATCTCTAGACATCTCATGGCAATTTTCGTATTTAAATAATATAAGCTAGCATTCAATTTTATAAGTTTCTGCCTAGCTTTTATGGAAATGGCCAACTGCCCTCGATTCCTATATACAGATAAAAGGATGCTCTAAATTTTGACTGTGGAGTGGTCACTGGCAGATACAGACTCTAAATCCCACTCAGAATATACTCCCCTTTGGTGTCCAGTTCTATGTCTTGAAACTATGTAAATCCTCAGATTCCCCCAGAAATATCTTTAGTTCTGTCAGGAGAATTAGCAGAACCAGCAAAGATACTTATTTCTGTGGAAGAAAAAAAGTCCAGTGGAACAGGGTAAATAAAAATCTACAGGGCGTCTATTACAGAAGGGGATGGAGGGTGGTAGCGGGGGAGGAGTTACCAAGTATACTGTATACACACACTAATATGCCAAAATGAAACTTATTACTCTCTATAACACATATGCACTTGTTTAAAAAGCTCTTCTATTTTAAGTACTTCTTTGAATCAAAAAATCCTACACAATCTCAGATATCAAAATAACAGGCTAACAAGTTGGTTTGTATTGTTAGTGGATGTTAGAAGTCATTCACTTGGCTAATTTCTGAATTAACTCTTGTTCAATTGCTGTGCTCATACACACTCTTTAAAAATTACATTAATGTCCCACACTTACCTTTAGTATATTTTGAAAGGCAGCAAGAAAAGAGGTAACAGAAATGTGACCACTTGAATTAGATGCTTCTCTTTTAATCTAGCAACTTTTCAGGTAAGCATTCTGAGATGAGAACACTTAAGAAAAGCACCAAAACGAAGCCCCACATAGCCAAACAAATCAAAGCATTCTGTTGTTTCTAATTTCTGTCCAATGACTATTAAAAGACAATGTGCAAAATTCTTTTCTTTTCAGTACTGGACTGAATCCAGGACCTTCATATTGAACTACATCCCTGGTCTTTGGGTCACCACACCAGGTTTTAAAAAATTTTTTTTCTTCAATTTGGAGAAAGGATCTCCCTGAATCACTACACTGCCTAGACTGAACCTGAGATTATGACCCTGCTGCCCGTCTGCTGAGATTAGGGATGGGAGCCCCCAAGCCCAGTTTGTGTAACTTTTTCTACATTAGTTTATAATACCTTAGGTATAACAAAAGTTCTTTATTTTTTTGTCAACATTTTGGTATATAGCCACATTTGTCATATACAAAAGCCCAAAGAATTAATCATACATAAGCGCTTCAGAAGATAATATTACTTTCATTCTGCTCTGGCTCTTAGAAGGTACACATATTTGGCTTTTACCTCAAGTCATCTACTTATCTGCACCTACCAAACTACTGCCAATTAGGCTTCTCAGAAGATTTCCTGATGTGAAGGTAGAGAAAAGGTGACAGCAGAGGTAAGGGGCAAAACAGTAAATTGTGGTTTAATTAAACAGCAGAGTCATTCAGAATCAACAAGCAATTAACATGGAATTGGGGAATTCCTGGGAGAGTAAGGAAGGAGGGGAGCTATAAAAAGGTCTCAAGGTCTCAGAGCAGCCTACATGTCATGGTATATCAAACCATAATACAAAACACAGAAACACACTGAACAGAAAAAAGAGAAAAATACGGATCTGGAAGAGAAGAGTTATTAAAATATTAAGGTTCAGGCCTGGGCAGTGTTTCTGTGGTTTTGCTAGGAAACCAGGGTCAAGAAAAAGGTGCATTCCCAAGCACCCACCCTGAAAATAAAGTACTGCTTAACGAAGTAGGGGCCAGGAATAAACAATGGGGGAGGGGACGGCTGGCTCATTACCTGGATAGAGGATGCTGCTCCGAGGCACTGGGCTCGCTGCCTCGCGGGTGGGTGGGCAGACCCTTCCGGCTCTCGAGTGTCTTCCCTGGAGGCTCAGCCCTGGAAAACACGAAGCCCTGAGTGATGCAGTCGGTGCGGTGCCCAGGCCAGGAGGGGAGGGTGCTGGGGCTGGGGGAACGAAGCAAAGACCTGGACGGTGGCAAGAGCAGGTAAGGCAGAGGCAGAGTCTCCGCTCCCCCCGACCCCCGGCTGCCCTCTTCCCCTCTGGGGAGGTAACTGACTTTACCTGGGTCCTCAGCTGCTGCTCCTCTTCCTCCTTTCAGCCTCCTCCACACTCACCAACTTCTCCATTGAAGAAACACTCCGGGCAGGGCCAGACTCGGGTGTTCTCGATCTTCCTCGGTGTCTCACGGCCCCAAGTGAGAGAGCATCAGGACAGTGGAGAGGTCGAGGGTGGCGGTCCGGGCTGCCGGGCAGCCTCGGGGCAGGGTGCAGGGAGGAAGTCCCGCCTGGGGGTGGGGGGGAGTCCCAGTCCAGGGGCTCCGAGCAGGGGACTGCGGCGCTCCGGGCCGGAGGCTTCCAGCTAGGGAGGGACTCAGGAGGTCTCCGGACAGCAAGGTCCCAGCTCGTACAGGGTCTGAAGTGCCAGCCGCTAGCTCTCCCGACAGGGGTCTTGGGATGCACTTTGCACTGTGCCACCCCCGCCCCCTCCCTCTAGCACTTTGGGGTCACTGGGATGGGACCAAGCTCTCAGTAACCAATCAGCGGCCGCACTCAAGCCTGAGCCCTGAGCCGTAAACCAGGTCCGGAGCGGGTGGGGGTGGGAGGTGGGGGTGACTTGGTTGGTTGGTTGCTTCCTTCTCTCCTCCTTATCCCTGCAGCCCCCACCTCCTGTTGCCGTAAAGCTGCCTGCGGATTCGCGACAGTTAAGGGAGGCGTGTCCTTCTGGGCTGGAACTCGTCTCCTATTGGTCTCATTCACCCACCTCCCCCAGGTGGCTTTCGAGGCTCCGCCCCCTAATGGTGGGACTCCAAGTAGTTGCTAAGAGACATTGTACGCCGACAAGGCCTCTGCGCATGCGGGAAGAGAGACTAGCGTGCTTTTTCTGCCCAGTGAACTACGGTGGCGCAGAGAGGGCAGATGCGGACCCGCGCTGGCGGTGCCAAGGCAGCGGCCTGAGCCAGCTCCCAGGCAGGTCGGTAGCCCCGGGAGACGTGTGTGCCGCAGGCTGAGAGGCTGGTCCGCGAGCTGGGGAGGCGGCGGTCTCCAGGAAGCTGGGAAAAGGGGCCCCTGGGCTGCATCATTTCCTCGGAGCTTTTGAGCCGCAAGTGCCTCGCCTTGGTGAGTCCGCCGGACTCGAGACCGCCTGGCTGCCCCCTGGGGATGCTGCGCCTGCTGGGGAGAACGCGGCTTGGGAAGCCAGGTACCCGGGCAAGGGCTTTCTTGCAGGAACGGCGATCCTCACGGGTTTCTGCGAGGGAAGGGAACTGGCTAGTGGAAGTACGAGAGGGGGAATTTTAAAACGTGTTTGTTAAGTGCGTTTAATCATTTATCGAGTATGTGTTGGCGAGGCATTTTTGAAATTAATGGGAAGACAGCAATGAGCGAGACTTTTGCTTTCACGTTACCAGGAGAAACAGAAACAACCCAGTCGGGGACAGGTAATATGAAGAAAATTGGGCAAGATAATGGAATCGCGTTTGACCAGGACCTGATCAGGCTTTTTTAGGTAGCCGAGAAAGTTCTCCCAGAGAGCAGCTACGCGAATGGCACAGAGCTAGCCGTGCTAATAGGATCTGGGGGAAGAAATCTGCAGGTAGAGTCATTGAAAATGCAAAGCGTCTGATGCTGGAGTAAGCTTTGCACTGTGCAGAAACCGAGTGAAGAAGGTCGCCGTAGCAGAAGCAGGGTTTGGGGGACAGGGAGATAGCTCAGTAGAATAAGCGCTTCCCTGGCAAGCGCAAAGGCCTGAGTTCAATCCCCGGTTCCACCAAAAAGAAAAAAAAAAAAAAAAAAGCAGGGTTTGTAAGGAGAGAGGGAATGATTGATAGTGATTGACTGCAGGTCATGCGGAACCCTGTATGCCTTGGTAGAGGCTCTTATGTTTTGAAAAGATCATTGGTTACTCAGTTAGAGGAGACTGTCGTGAGGAGCTGACTTACTTCAAATGTGGAGAGAACGGTTGTTGTAGTTGCCCAGCAAGAGACGACATTGTCTCAGACAAAAATCACCCAGTACACCAGGAATTACATTCAACTACACCAGTGCCCTCCAAAGAAAGAAAAAATGAGGAAAGTCTTCTTGACTGTATGTAGAGAAGCTTTTTTAATTTATCAGCTACTTTTCTGTAATGAAATGTTAAAATACTTGGCAGCAAGTGGGGGGGGGGTCATAAGCATTCCATTTATCCCCTACACTGTCATTCATTTATTCAAGAATACTTTTCTGGCACCTTCCACATGAACTATTTATGTACTTACGAGGGCAGACTACTTAAACACTCAGTTCAGTCCTGCGAGAGAAGCTCAGAGTCAGTGGAGGGGGATGTGGGCTAGAAGACAGTGCGCTGAGAGGAATGCTGTGAGCCTTTGCTAGGCAGTCTGATCCTAACTTGGATCTCTAAAGGGTGGGGGGTTTCCAATTTGAGGGTTATGCGTGGGTGGGAAATGTATCTAAGATTTAGTCGGAAAGAGTAGCCTAGGAATCTTTAAAGTTCACATGGTTCCAAGGACCTCAGAGGCAATTTGAAGCTTAGTTTGTGAGTTCCGCTCTTACAGGGTCTGCTAAGCCATGTTATGGAGGGTTAGACTTTATCCCAAGGAAATTAAGAGCTGTTTCTTGGAATGAGGTGGCTTTCCTCTTGTCTGATCCAAAATACTTGACCCCCTTCACCTTTTCCACAACCGAACTCTGCTCTGTGCCAGCTTTACATACCCCAACTTCACAGGCGCTCCCTTCTAATGAAACTAAGAACTTTGAAGTCACTCAGACTCTTACCATTTGTTCTTGATTCTCAATGAAGAACTAGCTAAAGGCCCCCAACAGTACCCATGCCATAAGCTGCATGTTGGAATGCCTTGAAATTTCTTCCACCAGATAAATTAGCCCTTACCCACATATTAGTCCAATTATTTAAATACAGGATGACCAAAAACTGCATTTTTTTTTTCCTTTCTGTTTAGTACCGGGTCTCACTACAAGATCAAACTCCTAGTGATCTGCCTGTGTTCAGCGTCCCAAAAGCTGGGATTACAGGTGTGCACATACTAGTCCAATTATTTAAATACAGGATGACCAAAAACTGCATTTTTTTTTTCTTTTCTGTTTAGTACAGGGTCTCACTACAAGTTCAAACTCCTAGTGATCTGCCTGTGTTCAGCCTCCCAAGAGCTGGGATTACAGGTGTACACATACTAGTCCAATTATTTAAATACAGGATGACCAAAAACTGCATTTTTTTTTCTTTTCTGTTCAGTACAGGGTCTACAGGGTCTCACTACATAGATCAAACTCCTAGTGATCTGCCTGTGTTCAGCCTCCCCAGAGCTGGGATTACAGGTGCACACACCATACCCAGTCTCAATGGCCTTCTCAGTATACCCTAGGGCAGAGCCAGCACAGCCCGCCAGGAATCGAACCCTGGCCACTGTGCTCTGCCTAAGACTGTGCTTTAGTCCACTGAGCTATCTGGCCAGCCCTAAAAACTGCATTTTAAAGATGCTTTTATAAGATAATATTAATAAGAAATATAAAAACCAACAATTTTATCAAATTTGTTCAGTATAAGAATCAACTGGTTGAAATGCCATCTGTCTGAGTGATGCTGGGCTTAGTTGGTAGATAAACAAACATGTTGCCCAAATGATACTCTGGATAAACTGATAAGTGATTAATCTCTGTCTCTCATGAAATCTTAGAACACACATATACATAAACCTTCTGACAGAGCTTAACATATTTGGCCTAGAGTCCTAAGTGGCAGTAGAGGCCAGGTTCCCAGCTGAAACCTCCTGAGCCATCGTTGCCATTGGCCTTTTCATCAGCATTCTGGTCTGAGAGAAACTCTCATCAAATTGGGCTTATAGCATTCTGGGGCTACTTCTCCAGATAGCATCTCCAATCCTTTCCGGACTCCTCCTGTGAGCTTCCGAATCACCTAGCCGGGTACCATCACACCAATGATCCCACTTCTCCAGAACCAAAACTTGTATCATTTAGGGTTCGTTAGAGGACCAGATTTACAATAAAAGATGTATATGACATACAAAGAGTTTACTAAGTTAGGCTTACAGTGGCTGCCTACAGAGTCCGGGCTAGAAGAGTACAAATTGCGTTCTTCACACTGAAGAGTTGGAGGAGCCATTGTACGGTTAAAGGCCTGGAGCTCAGCAGAATGCGTGCGAGTGCACATCAGAAGGGTGAAGGAGCTTCACTGGAAGGCTGAAAGAGTGCGCTGGAGGCCTGCGGGGACGGGAGGTGACATCCCAGGAGACTAGAGCCCTTCTAAAGAAGCAAAAGGGAAGACTTCCTTTGTTATTGTGTCCAGAGTAGAAGCCTCTTGGTTGGTGCCACCCACACCCAAGGTGGCTTTTCTCTCCTCAGTTGGCACTTTGCTGTCAGTCATCAAAGACACTCCCAGAACTCTGCTCCACTGGGCCAAGGTGTTTCTTAATCCGTCCAGGTTGGCATCACGATGAACTAATACCCTGTTCCTCTTACCAATGATACTTTATAATTTCAAATCTCTAAATATCCCTTTTTCCTTAACATAGATAGATTAATTACAATTAGAAACTGACTGTATTTGGGACTATACAGTCATATTAAATTTGTTAGCTTTTCGGCCCTACCATGATTTCTCTCTACTTAAAACAAAGTACAAAGTTTTACCTCAGAAATTTTGGGGGCTGGTGAGATGGCTCAGTGGTCTAAAGCACCTACTTAGAACAAGCTTAGCAAAACACAGGGACCGCGGTTCAATCCCCAGCACCACATGCCAGCCAGCCCCGCCCCCTGGTGGGCTGAGCTGGCCACACACACGTACACACACACACACACACACACACACACATAAATAAATAAAATTAAAAAAAAAAAAAGAAATTTTGGAAACATTTAGAATGGCTCATTTTTAATCCAGCTACTATCTTTCGTTTCCTTGTTTGTATGTTTGGTTTTGGGTGAGGGTCTTTCTGTGTTGCCCAGACTGAACTCAGGTATGCCGTCATCCTGCCTCAGTCTCCTGAGTAGCTGGGGTCACTGGTGCGCCACATGTCAGGCCCGCCCGGAGCTTTTGCACATTCCTTTTGTCTTTACATTCAGTAAGCAGGAGCACTTGCGCTGTGAATTTCTAGACTTTGTCTGTATGTGTCATCTAAGGTAATTCCCAGGAAGGTGCCTTGATCTATGCATTAGGCCTCCGGTATCCTTGAGGTCCTGGAATTTTAGATCTGTGGGAGACTTCAGGAATCACCTACTCCAGTGCTTTTCGAATTTTCTTAGCAGTTTTATTCTGGTGTTTAAAAAAATAGATTAAAGGTGGTGTTCTACTAGGGTTGTTCAAAGAAATGGATAAGAGGCCTTTTTGGGGGGGGACTTAACTGCTGAAGGAGGAGGCTCAGACCAATGGACTAGACTCATTAGAGCTAGAGACCAGCCATCAAACTGCACTTGAAAGTAGGCCAATGTTTTAAAGCCCCTTGGAGACCCCCAGCAGTACATCAGAAGGGGCCCCTCGTGCCAGCATAGCAAGGGTGTCCCCACTGACTGAACCCTGTAAGGAAAGTAAGTTTAAAATGATCTGTCTGCTGCTTGTTTTCTGCTTTTGCTTGTCTGCCTAGTGTCCTAGCTCTGCCGCTGAGTTCACTGGAATCTTTAGACGAGAGACATGAATCATTACAAGAGCCTATCTGACCTTTAACTTCATTGACTTTTTTTTTTTAACTGCTGAAATGTAATTTATAAGTTAATTTTAGAACATTTAATAATTATAGAATCAGGCAGTTTTGGACTTCAAAAAGGAGGAGACAGAGAATGAGATTAAAAAATACGTAAATAGTGATGAAGAACGCATGGTCTGAAAGTAGTCACAGAACGTCAGCAGCTCCGATAGTGGATTTGCTAGAGACAAAGAGTAAGAGCTGCTTCTTCTTTTTTTTTTTTTTTTTTGCAGTACCAGGGATTGAACTCAGGACCCTGCACTTGCCAGGCAAGCTCTTATTCTATTGAGCTATCTCCCTGGGCCAAGAGCTGCTTCTTGAGGGGCCTGGTCACCAGCCAGTCTCCTGCTCGCCATCGGGTGTGTTCAGGGTGGTATGGCCGTAGGCCCACAGGTTTGTCAA